CTCTGCCTTGAGTTTCTTCTGTCTGGGGAAAGCTGAGCATTTCGTGGGGTTGACTCTGTCCAATCTTGGAAGGCCCTCCTGTGGGAGCAAGACAATGTAATTAGGTTAAGTAGGGATCCCCAGCACACAACTTTCTGGGGTGAAGGGATGAGGGGTAGACTTGGTAGGAATCTGGACCCTACTTTGGAGTCAAGTGTTGGGCATCTGAACCTCCTGCCCTTTCTTTTCTCTTGGGTACACAGAAACTCCTCAGTTACCCTGGGAGTCACACACTCAGGCTGTCACGGGGTCCAACAGAACCTTCTAGATTGTCAACACCTAAGTTCCCTGATGCCACTCTTCCCCCAAAGTGACTCTGCGCTCACCAGCTAGGACCTCCATGCGGGCAGCTGGCTCCCTTCTTTGTTCTTTCATGAAGCCCCACTCCAAATGGTGTATGATTCTGTCCCCTGAAGTCTTCCCTGAAAAATGTAAGGGGAGGGCCTGCTGATCTCCCATGGCATAACATCTGACACTTTTGAGGCTCCCCTAATGGAGTTTCCTGGGCTAGAGCATCCTTGAGCATCTGCAGAAGCAGCATGCAGCACCTGCAAGACTGGATACCAGGGCTTCCCAGCAGAACACAGGTCCCCTTGAACTTGGTTAATGCTAGCAGAGGGCTCTTCTCGTGAAGGATTAAAGGGAAGCAAGGAGAGACAGATCCAGTGGGGATGTTCCTTCTGGAGTCCCATCCGGGCCCCACTGGGGTCTGATAGGCTCTGAAACAGCTGACTAGACAGACCAGAGGAGACAGGGAGAGCTGAGAGAAAAGGGTCCGGTCTCCAGCCCAGAGCATACACAGTGAATGACTAGACCAGCATGGGAGGGGGACACCCCATCAAGACAAGACCCCGCCCTTTAGAAGGGTACCACCTCGGGAAGAGTCACCAGAAACAGCACCCTCAGACTGGCCTGCAGACTTAGAACAGGCAATCGGAACAAAGCAGTCATCTTGAGCCCTCTGTCCTGGGTTATTGGAGATGGTTCAGGGAGGCAGAGAGTGTTCTGTGCTGGCCTGGAGAGGGAGTGGTCATCAAGAACCTTCCCAAGCCCTCTCCCCTCCTACTGGGCCAGCAGGAACCAGATCTTCCAAACCAGGGAGGGAGAGGGGACCTTGCAAGGGCTGGCAGCATAGCCCTTCATGAATATGCATGAGGGAGGTGCCCCTCTGGGGGCCATTCCCACCCGTCAAGGCACTTATCTTTGGTGGTGAATAGGGTGCTATTGTGGGCAGGGCTTCAGAATTTTAATGACTTGCAAAATATAGTTAATTATGTAAAAAGACATCTTCTGCACTTTTTCATGTAAATGAGACAAATTAATTGGCGCTCAGTAGTTTTGAGAGCCGCCTGGTCTCAGGGGGGGAGGGGGAAGTCCTTGATGGTTCTGAAGTAGGTGCTTGCTGAAAGCAAGGTGGAAAGCAGACACAGAGAAGGGCAATTTCTGATCCATTTAATTAATCCCATCACTAAACCCGCTTAGGGTTTGTAACTCAAACCGTGAGAAAGCGCAGCCTGCGTGTTCTCGCGCCACTGCCAGTCAATGGGTATAGCCCAGGAACCCTGGGGGCTGCTGGGAAAGGCTGGGGGGGCAGGGCCCTGAGGCAACCAACTCCACCAGCCCCTGGTCCTTAGCCAAGTTCTCAACAGAGGCTCTGAAGATGACACTGGGGGCATGGGGGGCAGTGTCCCTCAGGTGAGACAGACCATTTGAGTGGCAAAATCTGCATTTTGAAGGTCTTGCAAGGACATTTCTCCAAAGATATACTACTGGCCAGCAGGCACAGGGAGAGTTGGGGCACCACTGTTAATCACTGAGAAGTCTGAGTTCAACCATGGAAGGATGCCACCTCTGGCCTGCCAGGGTGACTATAATCAAAACCACAGAACACACGTGTTCACGAGGACTGGGGTGAGCCTCAGTATGCTGCTGTTGGGGATTTTCTTAGGTATATTTCTCTCCACAGACGCAAATAATTCCAGTCAGTCCCAATTAGACCAAATAAAAGATGCCCATGTTTAATGCCGTGCTCCTGGGTGGCCCGGAAAAACATGGCGAGGGAAAGAGAGCAGGGGAGACCATGCAAAACCCGGAGACCACGTGTTCCAGTCAGATGTAAAGTGATGAAGGCAGGAAGCAGTTTGGTGTTTTCAGGAAAGGTTTGCTGTAGAAGCACCATAAGCCCTTGCGACTCTCCTTTGGCATGCAGACCCGGAAAGCAGGGGCTCGGAGATGTTTGTACACAGTGCTCGGGCAGCATTGTTCACAAGAGCCAAACAGCCCACGTGTCCGTCAGAGGATGAGCCGGTAAGCACGGGGTCCATCCACACAGTGCAACGTCATCCAGCTACGCAAAGGAGGGAAATGCGGACACAAAAGAATCTCAGGGACATTGTAAAAAAGTGAGCCACATGAAGGACCAAGCTCCTCCAAGGTCCCCAGGAGAGGCAGAGAGTGGAAGGTGGCTGTTAGGCAACTCAGAAGTTTTGGTTGTAGCTGAATGTACTTGGTGCCATTGTCCAGCAAAAATGGTCTCTTGAATCCGCCCCTTTGCCGGCATTATCCAGAGCCCTTATCTAAGTTTATGCCGGGCTTACAGAGACCCTCCAGCCGCCGTGTCCCGTCTGGAGGGTAGCTGGGCTCAGCCGAGCAGGCAGAGTACCAGGGAGCACACTCACACCCTGGGCCCTCACCCTCCTCCTGCTCTGGCAGCAGCAGCCACCAAGGGGGTCACTTTACACATTCCCAGATCCTAATCAAATCGCACCTGCCCCACTTGGCTCATCTTTCTGAAGCCCCTTGGCCCAAGCAGCCTGACTGAGGAGCCAGCCTGGAGGCCTCTCTGCTCTGCATGGGAAACGCCATGGGAGAGCTGGCAACAATGGGCTTCTATCATAGGAGAAACCTGAGCCAGTGTTCTCATGGCCGGGCTGCCCAGGCAGGGGTGGAACCTGACCCACACATGCTGCTGTCGTCCTACTGGCTTTGGAAAGTAAGAATGGAGCCAGGGTCTTGGGGTAGGCAGCAGGCAGTGCTGGGGATATGCCCTCGGGCATGGCCGTTTTGCTTCTTCCTGGGTCACACTGCCTGCAGCCCTGGGATTCCCGTCAGAACCTTGGAGACAGCACATGCTCCCAGGCAGCAGGCAGCCTTGTTGCCACCCAGATGTGCTGCCAGAGCCCTGTAGAGTCACAGCTGGCTGCAAAGTATCCAAGCTGGAGAGTTGCAAAATCGACCGTAACTTTCTAATTTCTGTCATGGGCACCCACCTGAGTTGGGGTGCTATGCGGCTTCACCGGTTGCCTGGGAAACAGTTAGGGCCTAAATCATCTGTGACAAAACTGAGCCTGCAGTTACCTCCTAAGGACATCCAGGCCAGACACACTGACAATGACATGGCCCCAGGAGGTCAGGTGCACACCTCACGTTGCCAGAACACAGCCGGCCAGGGCCTCTGTAGGTGTAGCAGAAGCTCAGTCTGTCAGAACTCTGCCTGGGTCACTCCTCCCTCTGAGACAGGAACACACCCTGGAAAGGGCTCCCCCAGGCCAGCCATGGTGGCTCTTCTCTTCATGCTTCCCCTTTCTCTGTAGTTAAGAGTTCTCTGTGTCCCTCAGTGCTGGCTCTGCAAGCCAAAGGGCAGGGCAACCTGGACAGGAGTCTCCTTCCCAGGGTCACTAGCACCGCAGTACAGCTCCACGGCTGGGCAGAGGCTGCTTGGTGAAGACTGGGCCTGGCAGGTTAGATGGTCGCCGGTTGTGACTGCCCTAATTTCCTTCTGCCTGTAAACCCTGCTACTGAGTGTGACGTCACCGGATCCGGAAGTCCCAGAGTCAGTTTGATAAAGCACTTACTTATGCAAGGTACAGCTTCAGGAGCCAGTGGCCTTTCCTCCTGAACTGCCCTCAGGGCAAAGGCTAGTATCTTCAGCTACAGCTGGGGATCAAGCAGGACTAAACACCGGGCACTGTCACACACAGTCTCCACCAGAAGTTAGCGACTTCCTTCCTCCAGGTTGGTCAAATGACAGACTATCGTAGTGGGGTTAAAAGCCAAGAATGGCAAAAGTAGTGTTGGCTGGTCCTGGAGCCCTGTCCCAATTCTGGTGCCCAGTGATGCCTGCTACCACCAGCATCCTGCCTAGCGGTCTGTTGGTCCTCTGCGGAATGCCTTGTCCTGGAGGCTGGTGTTGAAAACACTCCTTTCCCAAGCCAGCTTCATGGTTGAGGGGTGAGATCAGCGCACTAACCTGGGGCCTTTGGGGTCTGGGCCTATTTGTTTCAGTGCCCTTAGGGTGTGGTCAGGGTTCTGCCCATGGGGACACTCAGAAAATGAGAAAGGGAAGGGAGAGAGAAAAAGGATAAAGAGGGAAAGAGAGGCAAGGGTCATGGGTACCGGAATATGTAATAGGGTCAGTGGTCCAGGTCGTGCACTGGTTGAGGACTCAGAAAGCCTAAACATACATGGTAACACTATAGAGTTGTGCCCTTCCAGGCACCATTAACAATGAAGGAGTGTTTGGGAGCATGGATGTATGTTTACACATGTATGCATATAAAACAGACCTTAGTTTTACAAGGGGGTGTTGGTCCCCTCAGTAATAATGTTTGGAGTCCTACGTATATCAGAATAGAACTAATTCATTCACTACCACCCCCGCCAGTGCCCATGGCATGACAGACAGATTGAAGCTTGTCTCTGCGTACTGACAGAGCTGACTGTCATGATCTACTTGTTTTGAGCAGTCACCCCTTGCTGTCAACTCTCGAGGTTGGGGTTTTATGACTAGCTGTGTCTGTGTACCACGGGCAAGCAGCACGCATTGGGTAAACACACAGAACCTGTAGACCCACGGGCTGATACATGACTAACATGGACAGATGTCCTCCTGCTGTCTCTGAGCTGCTCAGCATGGGCCTCCGGGAGCACCTACCCACTCTCTCTGAGTCTGTCAGCTCAGACACGGGGGGACTGCAGCTCCCAGTGATCTCATTAGTGTTTTGCCGGTCCCCAGCAGACGGGGTGTCTTTCTGGATCTGATCCTCTTGCATTACAAGTGTGGTAAGGTGCGTGGGACCTTGTTTGGTGAGGTAATACAGGTGGGACTCTGGCTATGTGAGATGGCGGCATTGTGACTGGACGGACTGACAGCAGTGATTGACAGATTAATGAAGTCTGTCTTTGCTCCAGGGCTGAGGCAGTGCTGCGGGACATGGAGGAATCGGTGCTCTCTTTGACCACAGAGAAAAGGGAGGGAAAAGGGGTGAGCTGCCCTGGATCGTTGGAGATTGCCAAGATGCCCCTGAGTCCAGAACCCTCCACTGCACAGGGCTCTCCTGTGCGTGACACTGGTCGCTGATTCTGGACTTCGCCTCTTTTCCTTCTGTTTTTGTCTTCTCCGCGGTGACAGGAGGTAGGCAATGTATTCTGGACATGGCTGATCTTTTGTGTTTAATCTGTCATGAATGTTTCCTCGCCCACTGGCACTTGTCTTTTCACTTGAAACACTCACTGAAGATATTTTTCAGCCCCCGAAAGGCATTAATATTCATGAGCAATAAATGTCTGTCAATATTTCCCTTAGAGCGTCTGGGCTTAGGGCCCGGAGCTGCAGGACATCCTTCCAAGGTTACAGAATGCTGTGTGGGAGTCACCATGCTCCAAGAGCCCCATTCTCGTGGAAGATTCTGGGCTCAGTGGTGGCTTGGCAAACTATGATCATCCAGGGAGCTTTCGGCCCACCTGCCTTCACATATTTTGCCTCTGCATTTCTTTGCGGTCGGGAGGGCCCCAGTTTGTGTACCTTAAAGCTGCCTCGGTTCTGCAACAAACCTGGGTTCGTTTCATTCATTATGTGCTCGTGGGTCATGAGGAAAACAGCATCCAGCTCCGAGGGCTCACTCAGTACCTAGCCCAATCCCCACCTGGAGTCTTTATGTTGTGAAACTATTGTTCTAGTCATTCAATTACTTCGGTACAGGAAGGCCTCTGCTGGTGTAGGTTAGGCTCTGAGCCCAGAGAAAGGAGTGGCTGGGCAGATAGACATCTTTGGGGCTGTTGGGCCAGTTTGAAGCTGCAGCAGTAGCAACAGAGGATGTGATGGGGAAATCATCTGGAAAGAGCCTGGGCAGGGAGTGTCTTTCTCTCTGGTTCCGGATGGGAACTGTTCTTCCCTCTCTGGGTACTTGGTGAGGAAGATGAGCAGGGCAAATCTCAGTCCTTAGCCTAGGCTTATCCTGCAGCTGTGGAAGCTCTCAGGAGAGGGTCTTGTTCCTCCTGTAGTACCAGTGGGCAGCAGTCCACAGAGCTCATGGGACCTAGGATGTAGGCTAGGAAACCATAGCTGGCTCACTCCAGGACACCAGCTTGTACTGAGGTAACCCAGAGGCAGGACCCAGGCCAGGCCTTTGCCTTACATCCTTCATCCAGGTTGCAAGGGCCCGGAGGGTGTGAGGAGAGGGTAGGGGCACAGAGATGGGGTGCAAGGGCCATCCCAAGCCCTGGTCTCCCAAAGTGAGACCCAGGTGTTCAGGGCCACACCTCCCAGTATCCCAGGTTCTGCAAGAGCTATTGTGGTGGTCAGGGCTACAGGCAGCAGATGCTAAGTGAAAGGTTTTGGACTTTGGCCACCACATTACTTTACTTCAGTTCTCAGCCTCCTCCGTGACCTGAGAATAGGCCCTCATCAGCTCAGAGAGAACACCCTCTAAGTTCACCACATCTTCATGAGGGCCTCCTACAGTCAGGCTAGGCAGGTGCACCTATCTCTACCCGAGACCTTGAGGGAGGACCCCTTACTCCACAGCAGCACACCAACCCTGGGAGCAGTTCCTCACAAGGCCTGCCTCTGGACTGGCCCTCAGGCCTGCTGCTCAGGATGTCTGCCACCAAACCACTTACAGAATGAAAGCGAAATGGAAGGGAAACGGGGCTGGGGAGACAGCTGAGATGGCACATCACTTAATTAAGAAGTTAGCTAAATTATACAGGTTTACGCATCTCAGAGAACCTTGCTGTGTTCTTCCTAAGGAGGCCACACAGAGGGGACACACTGTCAGAGGCTACATCTCTTACGGAATTGCTGACTTGTTTTTGCCCACTCAGGCTCCATTGAAACGTCTCGATGAATAGACAAAGGTTTATATGATTATTGGATTCTGCAGCTGATTGGTCCTAAAAGGAAAATAAAGTCTGGTCACTTGGCTCAGGAGCTACAGGCTGGAGTTTGTATAGTGACTCGAGCTAGCGTCTTAAGGGTCCCTTTTCTGCAGTGGTCCACCCAGATCTATGGACCATCCCTCAGGAAGAGTGTGGACCAGGTGTCACGGCCTCCTCAGGTAGGCTTCTAGCTTGTCCCTGGCCTGGGTTAGGGCAGCCAAGCAGGTTCTGAATATACCAATGAGCAGAGTGTCCCCTGGGAGGGGACAAAAACGCTAGATGAGAGGGAGGTGCTGTGTCGGGGCAGGGACTGTCTGGGAACTCAGGGTTGTTTGAGGTGCTAGAGTGTCACATGGGGTGGGGGAGGGTGACTGCCACAGCCCGAGGGCTTGTCTTCCCTTTGACTTGGCGTCCCTGAGCAGCAGATGCAGGCTGTTCCAAGATCCTGGCTCTTGGCTTGCCCGGAGATGCCAGCTTTGCTCCAAGCCTAGGCGAGACAAGCCTGGCCCATGGAGGGAGCAGTCAGCAGCAAGTTTTTCCTCAGCTTCCCGGGGGGGACCCCAAAGTTTCAGCTGAGATGAGCAGCACTTGTCCTAAGGCATGCTGAGCCACTGGGGGTGCTCAGGGCCCAAGATGGCAGGCTGGCTGGTGGGAGCAGATAGTCCACTAGAGGCTCTGGAGAAAGAGAAAGGCTCTCCTGTGTGACTCTCTGTTATGGGCTCTGTGCATCCAAGTGTCAACCTTCCAAGGCCTTGCTGAGCTAGGGAGGCCCATCTGAACCAATGACCAATGTGCCATGTCACTGGTCCCTGTAGCAGAGTGTCCCTAGGGTGCTGATATTCTGCAGGCAGGTACCATGTGTCTGTGAGCACTGGCTGTTCAGAGACACCATGATGCCCTTGTCACAGACTTACTGGACTATTCAGTGAGTTTCCTACCAGACTGCTTTATAGGAATACAATGAGGTCTTTCTGTCCATTGTTCCAATTCTCTGGCTTTGAGCAAGTCTCAGAGCTCAAGGGGGATGGACCCCAAATCTGCTCAAGGACACCTAGCCAGAACATCCCCCATTGTGAACCTAAAGTACTTTGCTTGGATTAGAACTTCCCTTCCAATGGCATGTCACAGCAGGCTTTCCGTCACTGTTCTGCAGCCAAGCCCAAATCATATTTCATTGGTTTTCAATAATGGTGTTGTCATCTTGCCAATTCACTCCCGTAATTGGGCCAGCAGGAAGCCTGCAGAGAATGCTCCTCCGTGCTTGCCTGAAGGCACAGGGGACCTGTGACAGGCAGGGCTGTAGCTAGGCATGCTGCAGGTCCCATCCATTCGATAGCACAGGGGCCAGTGCCCATACAAGCTGGAAGCCACCCACATCAGTCTAATGGACACATACCCAGGGTAGGTCTTTGCTACTGATGCTGCCAGCAATCTGTGTGCTTGGGAACTTAAGTTGAGCTATTTAGGTATTTCCTCCCTCCCTCCCTCCCTCCGCCAGGAGACAGGCACTGACCAGAGCATGAGGAAGTGGTTCTCGGTATTTGTCCCTTTGCTGAGCTTGCTAGGGATGATGTTAATCTAGGCCAGAGACAAATGCTACAGTTACAAGGAAAACCACGATGCTGACGGTCTTTCCATTTCAAAAGGGGGATTTGAGCCTTTCCTGGTTTCAGTGCAAAGCTATTGCTCTCAAGTTTTACATTGCTTCGCTGGGAGTCTCAAATACGGAAGAGACACAGCGAATGCATCCAGCACTTGTGACGGCCATGGGAGGGAAACCTCCAGGGGTCCTGCGCCCAGGCAGAGGCACAGATATTTCCAGTTTCCTAGAGGCTTCCCTCACGTTCCTCGGGAAGTTTCTCCCATCCCAGCGTCCACCACAAAGCCAGTCTTGCCTATTAACATATTTTACAAAGGAATGGTGCGAACCATTTCATTTCGTGTGAGGTTTCACTGAGTAGCAGGGTGTTGGTGGGCTCCATCTTGCTGTGGTTTGAATGTGGAATGTCTCCTCAGGCTCACGTTTTGAACACTTGATCCCCATCCTATGATACTATTTGGAAGTCTGGAAAGGCTTTAGGGTGTGGGGCCTGGCTAGCAGAAATAAGTGTGTGTGTGTGGGGGGGGGCCTTTGGAGGTCAGATCCACTTCTGGTTCTGGCCTATCTTCCCTGCTTTCTGATCGATGACTATGGTGTGAACAAGCTCACCACGTGCTCCTTCCGCTGTGGAGCCAATCCTCCATGCCTTTCTCGTTGCTGCCATGGACTGAGCCTTCTGAACCAGGAGAGGATGGGGAAACACAAGGATGTGAGCTGGTGGCTGTCAACATGTCCTTGGTCTCTTTTCTGTTGCTCTGATAAAATACCCAAACCAAAGACGCTTTGAGGAGAAGGAGTTTGTGGTTTTGTTTTTCCCATAATTCTTTTTTTTGCAGTCCATGCTTGTAGTCCATCACTGCAGTCCATCACTGCCGTTCATCCTTGTCCATCACTGCAGTCCATCCGTGTAGTCCATCACTGCATTCCATCCTTGTAGTCCATCACTGCCGTCCATCACTGCAGTCCATCCTTGTAGTCCATCACTGCAGTCCATCACTGTAGTCCATCACTGCAGTCCATCACTGCAGTCCATCCTTGTAGTCCATCACTGCTGTCCATCCTTGTAGTCCATCACTGCCGTCCATCCTTGTAGTCCATCACTGCAGTCCATCACTGCAGTCCATCCTTGTAGTCCATTACTGCAGTCCATAACTACAATCCATCCTTGTAGTCCATCACTGTAGTCCATCCTTGTAGTCCATCCTTGTAGTCCATCACTGCAGTTCATCACTGCAGTTCATTGTTGCTGGGAAGTCATAACTGCAGGGACTTGGAGGAGCAAGGACATTGGCCATCAAGAGTAGAGAGCATGTATGTCAGGGCTCAGTTTACTGTCTCCTATTCAATCAGTAAGTCAAGCTCATAAAACGGCACTACCCACATTCAGGGTGGGTGGACTTCCCAGCTTAGGTTAACTCAGACAATCTCTTATATCATGTCTACAGGCTACTCCAATCCAGATAATTCCTCAATGAGATTCCTTTCCAAAGTGATTCTTGACTGTTTGCCATTGACAGTTAAAACTCTATACCTTAATTCCAGAACTTGATAGGCAGAGGTAGAAAGATTCTTATGAAGGTGAGGCCAGGCTTGTCTGCATAGTGAATTCCAGTCCACCCAGGGCTACATAGTGAAACCTTGTCTCATAAAAAAGA